TCATACCTTAGGTTATTTGAGGTTAGAATAAGACAAGCTCATCTTCCTACTTTTGTAGATGGAGATGAGTCTGAGAGGTTAAGAGGCATATCCAAGGTCACTAGTACCAGGCTCAGCTACTGGCAAATATTATGGCCTCAAGTTGAGAACTTTTCCATTCACTATATTGCTCCTAATTGATGCCTAAAGTTCCCACTATAGAGAGTTTTATCTCACTGGACAGGTGTAGGCCAATCTGAAGCCAGGAACCCAGTGCCCTTTGCTTTCTGGGTTTTGGAATTTCTTATCATGGGCAGTCCTTGCAGGAGATGTGGGGCTCCTTAACTTTATATTCTCCACCAAATAGTGAATCCAAAAATTGTCAGGGAGTTTTCAGGATAGGTTTCACAAAAATCAGTGGTCATTTCTAGCTAATATTTAAAAGGATCTCCTGAAATTACTTATTATATTCAGTCTACCACATACCATATCCAGTCCTGACTTATTTTTATTTGTTTTACCATCCTAGAATTGCCCAGTGTTATTCTTCTAAATGAAACCTAGACATAAACTCAGCCATGGGGAAGTCAAATACCAACCCAACTTTATCCTGCACAGATCCTACTCTACTAGGAGACTGATTCCAAATTCAAAGGCTACCTTACCCTTGAAATTTCTAGCACTTTCAGACTTCCTTACTAACCTATAAGCCATTAAGTAAAATCTCTTAAATTCCATATGTAATCAAAAAATGATCACTGCACTGTCACATTTTAAAACTAATGTAGACTTTTTGAGCTAATCTAACCTAGACATTTCTCACTGTGTTCTATGGAGTAAACTTGTATCTCAGAAACTCCTTAATAGGGAAGAGATGTATGGGATGACAGAAACCCTCCACCTATTGTTGTTGTTAGGTACTGTCAAGTCATCTCCGACTACTAGCGACCCTGTGTACAACAGAACAAAACAATGCCGGGTCCTGCACCAGCCTCACAATCCTTGCTATACCAGAGCCCGTCATTGCAGCCACTGTATCAATCCATCTCATTGAGAGCCTTCCCCTTTTTCATTGACCTTCCACTTTGCCAAACATGATATCCTTTATATCTTCTACTCTAAATAAAAGTTTTGGGGTGGTACAAGTTTTTTTTTTTTTTTAATTACTAATCTAGTTCAATTCCTGTATGTTATAAAGAGTGATAAGGAAATTCAGAGAAAACTCATTCCCTGCTGAATGCTGGCAAAATTAGGTCTAGACTTTAGTGTTCTAAGCCCAATGGTATTTCTACTACACTGCCTGATTGTTGAGATTACCTCACCACTAATTGGACATTAAAGATTCATGAACGTGCACTACTGTTAAGCATGTTTTCTGATTGCATTACATATTTATTTTTTGTGTTTGTAAATAGATATATCTTTCACATCCTTGTATCTTCGCATATACTCTAGCACAATTGATTCTCAATTTCATTAGTTGATGCAATGATAAATATGCTTTATTTTTGTGACTATAGTTATATCACCCAAAAAACTACTGCCATAGAGTCAATTCTGACTCATAGAGACCTTATAGGACAGCGCAAAACTGACCCAATAGGGTTTCAAAGGCTGTAAATCTTTACAGACAGACTGCCTCATCTCTCTCCTGCAGAGAGGCCTGTGGGTTCAAACCCCTGACCTTTTGGTTAGCAGCCAAATGCTTTAAACACTGCACCACCAGAGCTCCTTATAGTTACATCATAATGATTGAAAAAAATTATCCCCTCAAAGTCCCCTAAAATGAGTCACTATGTCAACCCAGACACCTTTCCTAAATTGGAAAATAAATGAATTATTTCAAAAATGAAAATGTGATTGCTTTGTTCATTAACATAATTGAAAATATTGATTTAAAATGTCATATATTTCTTGAGTAGGGAAACTAAAATAAGCACATTGAGTGATTCATTTGAAGCATTATTTCATGGAGTATGTTCATAAGGTTTGTCAGAATATAGATCTAAAATTCACAAATATTTCTCAGCCATGTGATGTCTATCAGCTTTTATGGTGGAGGATGAATGCTACTCACTTTCAAAACTTGCACTTCACAATTTGTGACTTATCTCTTTCTGCTAGTGAAAGAATAAATAAAAGCATATTTTTTTTTTCATAAAGACTTGGTAACTTAATGATTAATTTAACAAGTATATATATATGTGTGTGTGTGTATGTGTGTGTGTGTGTAAATATATGAAAAGATGATAGCAAGAATACAAAGCTTAGTAAAGAAGCTTAGTAATGAATTTTTAGATGATTAAAATAAACAATATACAGTTGTTTAACTATTACATAAGCTTCAAATGTAAAAGCAATTTAGAATACATTTTTATAAAAGCCAATTTACTCTGAAAATAAAATTTTTGGTCCTATCAAATATTTTATGAGTAAGAATGGTTTATTTAAATATGTTTATATAGAGAGGGAGAGAGAGAAAAAGAGAGAACAAGCGAGCTCTGGCAGCGTAGTGCCTAAGGCATTTGACTGCTAACCAGAAGGCTGGTGTGGTTCAAACCCACCAGTCACTCCTCGGAAGGAAGACTGTGCAATCAACTTCCATAGAGATACCACCTCGGAAACCCAAGGAGGGGTCGCTATGAGTCGCATTTGACTTGCTGGCAGTGAATTTGTTTTTTTTTTATCTTTTAAGAGTAGAACTAAATAGCTAACTTAAATATCACATATATGTAGCAATGGATTAAAATAAGCTAAATCCCTTCTGGCTTTGGAAGGATGAGTTTTTGAAGGGTTACTATGTTTCACATGCATAAAGTATTTACAATTCATTATATCACAGTTCCATATATTCTAGCAACTCCTTTAAATTACATAGTATTATATATACTGCTATATCTACCACAGGAAGATGTTATATCTATGAAATATAGGAATTGGGAAACCATGCTATTACTGGATAGCCACACTTATTAAAATAATTTTTCAAACACATTCTCCTGTTTTTCCAGAAATCATACTTACCTGACATATTACCTTACATTTCTCACAAATATTTCTATAAATTTTCTTCTTCATTTCTGATTACTTCTTGCTATCTACTTAAATACAAATACTTCTTTTATGCTTGTTTCTATACTTGAAAACATAGCATATATTGAAAAATATGTCAAACTATATTATATAAATTTGGGGGTAATTCCTTGCATTTCACATATCCCTCAAAAATTGGAATTTGTTAATACTACATTTATATATTATTGCAAGTTATATGTTAGACATTGCCTTCATTAAATATTATGCAGATAAAATGGTTATCATGCAAAAGTTCCACATCCCTTAGTTGTTCATTAATAGAATGAATATAAATGGGCATATAAAATTACAAAATTCGAAAATATAAGCTTTTCAGTTATTTGCTTGTATGGCTTGAGCATTTCATTATAGCCTAATGAATTTTTATCACAGTAAGTGTCTGGAAATAGCAAGAGAAAGTTAAATACACGTACATACACATTGTGCGCAACCAGTAAAGGGGTACAGGCACTCAGGATCATGCAGGAGATGTACAAGGCCTCATTTTGTGTATTTGGTCTACATTACATACAAGCAATACTGCATTTGGCAAAAAAAAATATATTTTGTAGTGCTTTCTTTAGAGTGATAACTTTTGTGCTTTCTATTTTATTTTTTGGTCTTCAGCATGCTTTTTGCTACTTTGCTGGGGGCAACCCCTGAAAGTACATATGTAAACCAGTGCAGAATGCAGTGGTGAAATAGCTGTGGTAGGAAAACAAACAAACAAACAAATAAACAAAAACATTAGAGAAAGAGTGAGAAAGAGAAAAAGAAGGAAAGAGAGACACTGACATATCTCCCATGAGATTCAGTGGTAAAATTTCCTTAAACACATTTTGACCTTCATTTTCCTTTTGAAAGCCTTGCTGTGAGGTTTTTTTGCCCCCTGTAGAGTACTGTGCAACCTTCGCAAGAGATCATTTAGTACTAGTTTCC